CCGCAGCTGCCCCGCTTCTGCTGGGAGCAGCGGCCACCTGCGGAGCAGCCTTGGTGCCAACAGGTGAGTGCCTGCCTCCCTCCGCGTCAGCGCTGCTCCCGGCTCGCTCTTGCTCCATTTCCGTCCTTCGGTTTTGTGGGCTCTCCCTTTTCGACACGAATGCACTTAGCTGTGCCCTGTGTTCGGTAACACCAGCCCCGTTTTGGCAGCGGCGGCGACCCCGCGGGCAGTCTCGTGCTCCGGGGCGAGAGCGTACGCCTGCGGCACAGCAGCGCTCCTCTCCCACCCCTCAGCCCGGGGATGAGCCGTGGGCCCCGGCCTGGCTTTGCCAGGGATGTGGGCTCCTGTGGGATCTCCAGTCCTGCTTTCAAACACGGGAGCTGTTCGCCTTCGCGCGGGAGCGGGTGCAACACAGCCGCTGATCTTGAGTAAGATGCTCTAAGGGTTAACAGCCCCTTGTCTTCTGAGGTTTAGTTAGGATGGATCTGCCGCCGAGCGTGAGTCGGGTGTGCCGAGAGCCCCTCTGTGCCCAGAGGGAGAGCCAGGCTGGTCTCCCAGCACTCCTGTGAGGCAGACCCACGGCAGGCTGTGATACCGCTGCTTTGCTGTGACTTTACTAGTGGCTGTAGCTTGCCCCTTTCGTGCCGATGTGACTTGCCAGACGGCTGTCACACATGTTGCTCCAACAGTTTAAAGGCTCTTTCTGCTTAGGGACCAAGCAGAAGTGGCCAGTTGCGCAGATGGCAGCGGTGCCGACTTTCGCTGAGCTCCAGGAGCAAAGCTGTTCCTGAAACTTGTAATTGTGTTGAGTTCTGTTGAAACTAGTAAGTTTTGAAAGTTTTTGGTGTTCATTTAATGGTTGGAAGTGGAGGGCGCACGCAGTGACTGAATGAGGTCTTGTTTTTTTCCATTTTCCCTTTGGAAGAAAGCTGCAGGTCTGTGGGCTAAGGCAGGTCTGGACCTGAGGAGCTCACAAACCATCCCTCAGCCCCATCTCTCAGGGACTGGGAACAGGTAACCAGCACTTGATTACCTTTAAAGCCTAGGGAGCAGGTGGAGCCGGGGTTGGAATTGCTGAGCACCATGTGGGGTCAAGCTTGTGACATTATCTCTGCCTCGGTTTCCCTCCGTACAAACAGGGGTGGGACAATTAGGGGGAAGAAGAATTAGGGAGGTGCTGAGCTCCCTGATTATTTAGGGGTGGCAGGTTATTTACTGAGGAGCAGTGGGAGTTGTGCATTTCACAGAAATCCTAGCCAGGACAAGGGTATGAGCAAAAAGTTCAATAAACAAGGGGCACTCTAGAAGGTCGCTGGGATGGCCGGTTTGGGCACAGGCGACCGAGACGCAGCATTGCTTAGGAAAAAGCTTGTGCTGTACGAAGAGATGAAGGCAAGCTCTTCCTTTCTGTCACTCAGCCGCCAGAAAAACAAGACACAAAACTAATCTGGACGAGCTGTCAGCAGCCCTGTAAGCACACTGGGGAAATTCCTCCAAAGATCTTATCGTCTCACTGAGCTTTGCTCAGCGTGAAGGAACGAGAGATGCACGCCGGCTGGAACTGAAGGCAGAATTCATCCCGCGTGGTTTTGCGTGCTATCATTTAGTCCTGATGATCATGAGATTGTCACGGATACTCAAGTTAGGAAAAGTTAATTCACAGTTCCGTTGAAATCATGAGTTAAAACCCCTTTCCTCTAAGCTGCCTGCTAAGTAACTGTCAGCGTGGGGGAAAAAACCTTCCCGACAAACCTTCACTGACTACAAGGGGTTAAGGAGCTTTTGACTTGGCGTGCTGGTGCAGACACAGCCGGAGTCCCCAGGTGCTCCTGTTGTGTTGCCTGTGCGGCGTGCTTGGGAGCACTTTGCCTCACAAG